AGAAAACTCTGCTGGAGAGGAAGCTGTCGCTGGAGCAGATGCTGCAGCAGATGATGTCCAAGCAAGAAGACAGCAAACGGTGATGGAATATTCAGATTATTCTTTATGGGGCACCAGCCTAGAGCTCGCTCAGGCCTTGTGACGTGCTCTGCTCTTGTCCCCCCAGGTGCCTGGCTCTTCAGCAGGCGATCTCGACCCTGCCGTCGCGGCCACCTGCAGCGCCTGATCCGGGCCCAGCACCAGAGCCTGCGCGCGGTCATCCAGGAGGTCAGGCAGGGGCTGCTGCAGGGGTGCCCAAGGAAAATCCCAGACCGATTTAGAAATTGGTCAGTTATCCTACATTTGAGTTTTCCTATGATTTAAAAACCATGGGGATCTCTCTATGCTTTTAGAGACTTGAAACGCCTGCATTTTTTTCTGCTATGGAGACATACTTGGCACCGTGGTTTTATCATAGAAATGTTCGTAATGTTTTAAGTGTTTTAAGCCATTAAAAACTCCATGTCCTAACTCCTAGGTGGAGGAATTGAACAATGAACTCAGAAATCAAGATAAAAAAATCGAAGATCTGACAGAAAAGCTCAATGTCCTCGAAGCTCAGGTAAAGTGAGAAAGGCGAAAATCAACTTAGACAATTTGGGGATCATAAGTACTTTTCTAAAATTGTGTTAAGACTTCTGGGCAGCTCAGTACAGCTTACAGTAGGACTCTATCAAGGAATAACATGCTCTTTTCCCTTGTGTTATTCCCACTTTTATTTTTCTCCTTCCTTTTTTTAAGCAGTTATTCCCTCTTTAAGCAGTCAACACTTGTGTAGTGGGAAGGCTAAACTAGCAGTGACTTCAGTGTTGAAAGATCCAAGTACCTGGCATGGAGGGGACGTTGGGGCTTCACTGTGTCTGCAGTTATTTAAACTACACCTGCTGCACTCACAAATTAAGGAACAGCAGCAAAATACCCCAGCAAAACTCGTAATTTCCTGTCTTCAGGGTTGCATGGAAACGCTGAAAATAGCTCTGTGCAAGGTGTTTTTTCTTTCTTTCTGCAATCCACCCATTCTTGTGGTGTGGGCTTTATTTTAACTGGTTTGGATCACAACTTAATGACAAGCTCCTCGCTGTTTTCAGACTCTTCTCTTTACTCATCCCCTGGGATGGAATGAAATTCCGGAAGATCTGTCTGTGTGTCCCCGTTGTGCTGGGTAGCGGCGCACGCCGGCGCTCCCGGTCTAGTTTTATCTGCTGCTTTATGCTGAAAAGATTTCTTTTTTTCCTTTGCAGAATAAAGAGCTTAAAGAAAAAGTGGAATTCTGGTCTGGCCAGTCCGCGAGGAAAGTTTCCAAAGGGGTCACCACAGAGTGAGTGTCCGGGAAGGGCCGTTGGATGTGGGAGTAGAGCATGGGGGGCAGCTAGGTGTGTTTAAGGTTAGATTTCCTCCTCGGTGATGCCACCCGTGTGCCCTTCACTTCGCAGCGCGCCGCGAGGCTTTGCACCATCCCCTTACGTGATGCTCACCAGGCTGCGGAAGCAGGAAAGCTAGGTGAACGCCTGCGCCTTGCTCGTCCTTTTTTATTATTTTTTTGCACGTGTTTTTGCACACCCGCATCCTTTTTGCTCCTGCAAAGCATCTCCCACGTTGCTCCTTGTGGTACCAGGATGGTGCTAGAGCTGCTCGGGGAAGAATAAACCTGGAAGCAGAGCCCGAGGTGACGGGAGGGTGACATGACCCAGCGCAGCCCCAGGGGCAGGAGCTGCTGCCACCAGCACGTGCTAACGGACTCTGACAGCACAGACTGCAGCATTAACTGAATTAGGCTTTTTTGATGCCATTTTTTTTTTAAATAATAAACTTTTAGATATTGTTACCCCCTCGCAGTTGCCTCTTTCCTGCCTTGTGACAAGGGTGATGGTAAGACTCAGGTCTGGCCGTGACACTGAGGGGTTTTCGGGGCTCTTCAGGGCCACCTGGGTGACAGAGGGACCTGCACAGCCCCCTCGAGGGACCAGGAAGCTGCAGGGTTTTGCAGAGGAGGAAGGGGCTGCCCCAGGGATAAGCCTGGTTTACCTGGATGCGGTTTCAGGAAAGCAGCTCCTTTTTCCTGCCCTTTAATGTGCCCGGGCTGTTCCCTAGGGCCACCAGGAGCAGCCCTGCCCCTCATCTCCTCCCAAACGCTCCCACGGGGCCGTTTCCAGCAGCTGCTTAAAAACACGATTTTATTTGGAAAAGAGCAGCGCAGAACCCGAAGCGCAGGGTTACAGTGCACCCCCGTGGCTCGGGTGCCACAAGCGCTCGACGCCCCGGGTACAGCGTGACACCGACACAGCAACAAGGGACTGAAACAGCCTGGAGCAGAGCGCAGAGGTGGCAGTGGGACCAGGAGGAAACATTTACAAGGTAAAATACAACAACTCTTAAAGCAACAGAAGTGCTTTGCAAAGTAACTATTGAACCAGAATTTTCATTAAAATGTGTGTTCCCTGCATGGAGCTGCTCTCCTACCACCGGCTGCACTCAGCAATACGCTGCCCCTTGATTCCCAGAAAGATCCATGTAAGATTTCCAAAATAATCCTGCCCTTTTAAATAGAGGAGTCTTCTTTCTTTTTTCCTTGCTTGTAATGAGCCAGTTGCTGTTTCTGGAGTTTTTTGCACTTCCAGCTTCAAGGAACACCCCTCGTGGTTTCACCCTCCTACAATAACACCCTCCCAGGCCCCCTCTTACGGTGAGATTCAGAAGATGCTTCACAAAATCAAGGTTGTTTTTCCATAGATGATGCTCTTCTCTTTCCAAACTGTCCCTGCAGCGTGAGAATCCGATACCTGGTACTTACTGCCTGCAACTCTCCAATCCCTGCTTGGATTAGCGGCAAGACCAGCGCCGTTGCACAATTCCCTGATTAATTTGTTCAGAATTCCCTCTTCCTTCGCCCCATCCCCAAAGCGCCTCCCGCACCCGCTAGTAACCCTGGCACCTTGGCAGCACTCCCTAACAGGCCCCATAAAATCCTTCGTTTGCCTTAAAAATCCCTGATGCAGAGCAAGAATTATAAAGGAATCATAAAGCGGCACAGAAAACCCACCCGCTGCCGTTCGAATTCCTATAGCCCGTCTACATTGACCTCATATAGTTCCTTCTTTAAAAGTGGAGGCTCTTTTAAAAAAATAAAGTTACTTTCCTTCTAGGCGGTAGCCTGAGCGTAACGACGAGGGCTGGGGAAGAAACGAGGGCAGAAATTTTCACCAAAACGGCACCAATTGGGAAGATGATTCCAAGAGCCTCCCGGAGATGGAGCTTTGCCTTTCAAATCAGTTCTCTGGAGGGAAAACCGAAGCGCGATCCCAAGGGAAGGCGGCAGGTTTGCTCCCGCTGGATTCGGCGGCGCTCCGGGAGGCGGGATGGGGGCCTAGCAGCCGCATCCCCCGCGCGG